GGAAAAATTATGCATTTATCAAATTATGTTTTTATATATATGGATTTTATATATATTTATATTTATATGGAAATAAAAAATTATATATAAATTTATAATTATATTTATATATTTTATATATGAAATAATATATATAAATAAAATAAATACATATATGTGTGTGTATATATATATATAGGGATTTATCAGTTCAAAAAGAGCAGAGCGGGGCATGTAGGCATTTAAAAATCCCATTGCATTGTTAAATCTTGGATTATGGATGCATCCTGGGAGACAAAAAAAGTCTAAAAAAATGAAATTTCTTTTCTGAAAAAAGGAAATTTCCAGGTTCCAAAAAATCTTTGGGATTTTTTTTCCCCTCTCCAGACTTGTTTTTTTTGCTTCTTTTTAACCCAGAAGTGTCTCCTAAATAAGAGAAGATGTGTCCCACTGAGTCTTTCCAGGCAGTCCATTTAAGCTGTGCCTTAGTCCAGGTTTAAAAGGGGGTGAGAGAACCTCACCATCCCAACTCCTGCCCTCCAACACATCCCAAATCCACCTCCAGCCCTTCCCTGGAGCCACTGGTGCCATCCAAGCACTCAAATCCATGGAAAGCTGCTCCCAAACACCTTGGGAACCACTTTCCTGCTGGGAACACCTGAGGATGCTCTCCCTGACCCCTCAGCACCCTGCATCTCCTCCAGGACTGGTCCAGCTGGATACTCTGTGGTCTCACCAGGATAAACCATGGAAAACAGCTCAGATTTTCCACAGGTTTCTCCCATCACAAGCAACCCAAAAGAATTTTTACAATGTGGCTGCTCTGCTATTTTTTCCTCTTTCACACCAAAAATGCTGCTGATTATGGGATATCCACGTGGGGGAAACATGGAATACCTGGCTCTTGGGGTCTGTTTACTGTTTCTCCTTAGTCCTACAACAGCTTCCTTTTGGAGGATCAAATTAATAAACTATGCCTAATATACAATAAAATAATTTCCTTCATTCACCTCACCTCTCTTTTAACCAGATTATTTTTTCAGCATTCACAAACAAAACCTTAATAAATCCCAGCATCAAAACTCTGCAGCCCCATTCCCTCATCATGGCACTCACTGGAAGTGCTCCAAACAGACATAAAATCCTATTTTAATGTGTAAGTGCAAGATGAAACTGCTGGATTGGGAAAGGCTTGGGAATTTGGAGGGAGGAAGAGGATGAAGGCAGAGGCACAAACTGGTGCTGGGAGGATGTTGACATTCACACCTGTGCTTTCAGGTACAAAAAAGATTAAAAAATCACCAAAAAAAACAGGAATAAATCCCAACCTTGCAAACTGAAACTTATTTTCTGAATACACTCCTTCCCTCTTGGAAATGGCTCATCCCAAAATTCAAACCTAGATGGATTTCTGCTCCAAAATAACAAAATTACAGTGACTCCCAGGTTCAGCAGAGCCACCAGACGGACCTGTGGGGATGAGGGGCACGGATTTGCTGCTGGAAAAGGAGAAGGATTTTGTCTGTTCAGGGCTGACAGTGATGGATGGGGAGGATCCATCTCCAGCACCAAAACTCTGCAGCCCCATTCCCTCACCATGGCACTCACTGGAAGTGCTCCAAACAGACATAAAATCCTACTTTAATGTGTAAGTGCAAGATGAAACTGCTGGATTGGGAAAGGTTTGGGAATCTGGGGGGAGGAAGAGTACGGAGGCAGAGGCACAAACTGGTACTGTGAGGATGCTGAGATTCACACCTGTGCTTTCAGGTACAAAAAAGATTAAAAAATCACCAAAAAAAACAGGAATAAACCCCAACCTTGCAAACTGAAACTTATTTTCTGAATACACTCCTTCCCTCTTGGAAATGGCTCATCCCAAAATTCAAACCTTGATGGATTTCTGCTCCAAAATAACCAAATTACAGTGACTCCCAGAGCCACCAGACGGACCTGTGGGGATGAGGGGCACGGATTTGCTGCTGGAAAAGGAGAAGGATTGTGTCCGTTCAGGGCTGACAGTGATGGATGGGGAGGATCCAGCTCCAGCATCCATCTCCATTCCCTGCTCCAGTGGCACCTTGGGATGGGGACAGGTCCCTGACCCTGCTGCTGCCAGGTTGGCGTCACCTGCTCCGGGATGTCTGAGTGCTCCTGGCTCGGGCTCCACAAACAACAGGAATTTAAGGAATTGTGCTTTCCAACCTGCTCTGAAATCCCATCCATCTTCCTTGGCAGCAGCAGCTTTTAGGGAAGAGCTGCTGCTCCATGATCCACGTTATGGATGGGGTGGAAAACTGCTGGGTTTGGAGTGTTTGGAACCAAAAAATCCAGGGAATTATTAGGGATGACAAACGATTCCCATTATTCCCAGTTGTCCCTCAGCAGACACCCATGGGAGCACAGCTGAGGGACACAAATGAGAGTCAGGAATTCGGGGATTGAGGCAGCACCAGGAGGAAAATCAGGCATTGTTCTGTGAGTTATGGCGCAGCTGCAGGATCTGGGAGGGAATCATTAAATTGGGATCCTTCTCCCAGGCTGGTCAGCTGAGGGCTGAAAAATGGCAAGTGGATGTTAAAAAAGGGAAAAACCCATGTTGGAAACAGCAAAATTCCTGCTGGGGGGTTGTTGCCAGCAGTGAACTTAATCTCAGTGTTGATGGGGGCAGCTGAAGTAAAATCTGGTCAGGAAAATGTTGGATAAAGGTTGGAAGAACTTGGCTTGGTAATGGGAAGTGCCAGGGATGGTGAAACCGACAGCTGATGTCACTGAGTCACTCCCTTGGAGATCTGGAAGTGTCCAAGGCCAGCCAGGATGGGGCTTGGAGCACGCTGGGATAGTGGGAATTGCCCCTGGATGGGCTCTAAGGTCGCTTTCCACCCAAAGCATTCCAGGATTTTGTGATAACACAAGACATCCCAATCTCCACCTCAACCAGGAAAGCAAAAATGTGGGTATTTTTGGGGGGGAAAAAGTCCCTAAAAATCCCTAAAATCAAAGATCACCTGGGGGATTCTTTAGGAACTCTATCAAGCTCTGGGTTCTCAACCACCACGGTCATAAAGCCATCCCAAGATGAATCCTAACAAATCCACCCCAGGATGAATCCCAAGAAACCCATCCCATGAAGAATCACAACAAATCCCTCCCAGAATGAATCCCAACAAATTCCTCGCAGAATGAATCCCAAAAAAATCCATCCCAGGTTGAGTCCCAACAAACCCATTCCAGCATGAATCCCAACAAATCCATCCCATGATGAGTCCCAACAAACCCATCCCAGGAAGAATGCCAACAAGCCCGTCCCCCTCAGAGGGAAAAGGATCCTGGGCAGGGCTGTGTTAGCTCTGCCTTACTTTAATTCCAAAACCAGGATTAAAAAGAGCATTTTGTCTGCTTTGGGCTCTGGTTTTTAACCATTTCACTGAGCAGGAAAAGCAGCAACTTGAGGGCAACCAGAGAATTCCAGCCCCAATTCAGGTGGGTGCCTGAAGACCCAAAAGGGGCAGGTTTGGGAGCAGAGCCCTGGGGGTGGCACCACGATGCTCCTGCCCTGTGGAGCTGCTGTCACTTTGTCACAGGACACCTCATCACCATCCCTCTGACCTGGCACAGGGCTCACTTCAAGGGCACCTCAACACCCCTCTGACCTGGCACAGAGCTCATTCCAAGGACACTTCATCTCCATCACTCTGACCTGGCACAGGGGTCGCCTCAAGGACACCTCATCTCCACCACTCTGACTTGGCACAGAGCTCACTTCAAGGACAAAACTCCCTGCAGAGAGCACAAGGGGCTGAGGCTGGGAGAGGACCAGAACTGGTGAAGAACCTCAACTTCTTCAGATGCTCCAAGCCCCATCCAATCCTGCCTTGGACACTCCCAGGGATGGGGCAGCCCCAGATTCTCAGAACGAGTCATAAACTGATTTTTTATTTATGCACTCCAATCCCTCCTGGTTTTAAAATACTCCATCCCAAAAAGTAGGGATGGTTTGGAGAGCATCAAGGCAGCATTGAAGAGGAAAAGGAGGAATAAAACTTGGATCTCTTGGAGTCCTGTGTGCTGCAGATGCTCTGGGTGAGCTCTGTGGGCACCACCACTCCCAGACCTTGGCATGGCCACACCCCTGACCTGGGACCCCAAACACCAAGGGGCACAGCAGTACTGTAGGATTTTACCCCAAATTTGGGATGCTGCTTTGGGGTTACTCCTCTGGAGGTTGAGGGAAGGGACTCTGTGTGCACCATGGTCATTTGATGAGAGGTTCCATTTGATTCCTAATCTGCCCTATTCTATTTAATTCCTAATCTACCCTATTCCATTTGATTCCTGATCTACCCTATTCCTTCTGATTCCTAATCTATCCCATTCTTTTGATTCTTAATGTATCCTATTTCTTTTGATTCCTAACCTACCCTGGCATTTATTTTGCCAGTTTAAATAACTATAACTATAACTAGAACTAGAACTAGAACTATAACTATAAGTATAACTATAAATATAACTATAAATATAACTATAACTATAAATAGAAATAGAAATAGAAATAGAAATATATAGATGTAGTTGCAGATAGATATAGATATAGATATAGATATAGATATAGATATAGATATAGGTATAGATATAGATATAGATATAGATATAGATATAGATATAGATATGAATGTAAATGTAAATATAATAAGAAATAGAAATAGAAATATCATTTTAATAGAAATACGTTAATGTCACACATAATTTAATGTAATGCACTAATACTTCTTTTTGATTTATACCCTGTAGTAACTTTAATAAAACCTTTTCTTCATTTTCTCCTGTCTGGTCAATAAATAACTAATTTTATAAACAGAGCTGACCCACCACCCTTAAAACTCATGGGCCCAAGTCCCATTCCAGGTGTGGGCCACCTCGATTTAGATGTTCCCCAAACCCCTGAGCCTGAGGCAGAGCAGGGATTCGCCCTGGATTTGTGACCAAGCCAAGGACAGGGACAGGGCTGGCTGGGCTCTTACGTTCGCACTCCTCCACGTCCAGGTTGAACTGGTGCAGGGCCCCCAGCGTCAGCTGCCTCACCTCGGCCTCCAGCAGCAGCTGCAGCAGCGACGTCGAGAGGTGCTTGCAGGCCGACATGCAGGCTGTCTGGGCCACCTTCCCCTGCAGGACAAACGGACACTTGTCAGCGACACCAGAGCAAAAGCCACTGCAGGACTTCTGCAGAGCAGCCAAAATTCCTCAGTAAAGCCATCAGTGCAGAACTTCTGCAGCCCAGCCCCAACCTCCTCAGTTAAAGCCACCAGAGAACTTCTCCAGAGCAGCCAAGCTTCCTCAGTTAAAGCCATCAGTGCAAAACTTCTACAGAGCAGCCAAACTTCATCAGTAAAGCCATCGCAGAACTTCTGCAGCCCAGCCCCAACCTCCTCAGTTAAAGCCACCAGAGAACTTTTCCAGAGCAGACAAACTTCTTCAGTTAAAGCCACCAGCACAGAACTTCTGCAGCCCAGCCCAAATATCCTTAGTAAAGCCACCAGAGAACTTCTCCAGCCCAGTCCAGATCTCCTCAGTAAAGCCACCAGAGAACTCCTCCAGAGCAGCCAAACTTCCTCAGTAAATCCACTATACAACTTCTCCAGTCCAGCCCAAATTTCCTCAGTAAAGCCACCACAGAACTTCTCCAGCTTAGTCAAATCCCCTCAGTTAAATCCACCAGAGAACTTCTCCAGAGCAGCCAAACTTCCTCTGTTAAAGCCACCAGCACAGAACTTCTGCAGAGCAGCGAAAATTCCTCAGTAAAGACACCAGAGAGCTTCTCCAGCTCAGTCAAACCTCCTCAGTTAAAGCACCACAGAATTTCCCAGCTCAGCCAAAACCCCTCAATTACAGCCACCAAAGAACTTCTCCAGCTCAAACCTCCTCAGTTAAAGCCACCAAAGACCTTCTCCAACCCAGCCAAAACTCCTCAGTAAAGCCACCAGAGAACTCCAGCCCAGCCCAAATCTCCTTAGTAAATCCACAACAGAACTTCTCCAGAGCAGTCAAACATCCTCAGTAAAGCCACCACAGAACTTCTCCAGAGCAGCCAAATCTCCTCAGTTAAAGCCACCAGAGAACTTCTCCAGCTCAGTCAAACCTCCTCAGTTAAAGCACAACAGAACTTCTCCAGCTCAGCCAGAACTCCTCAGCTGAATCCACCTGAGAACTTCTCCAGCCTCCTCAGTGTGTCCCATCTGTGATGGGATGTTCTCACACACTCAAGGTCACATCCACCCTCTCCCAGAGGAATTCCCTCTGGAAGTGCCCATGGCTGAGGGAAGGGTTAGGCCTTGTTGGGTGCAGCTGGGAAAAGCTCAGATCCAGGAGAGCTCCAGGGTGCTCAGAGCTCAAAATGTTCTTGTCACATCCTAACACGGGCAAGACGGCATTCCATTGATTATCAGGGAATCATGGAATGTTTGGGATGAAAGTGACCCTAAAGCCCATCTCATTCCATGGCAGGGACACCTCCCACTGTCCCAGGTTGCTCCAAGCCCCAGTGTCCAACCTGGCCTTGGACATTCCCACCCACAACCTGACCCTCTCTACGGCAGGTAGAGGGTCTGCACCAGGAATTAACCCCATAAAAATGGGGAAATCCTTTGGGATCAGAGCAGGATTTAGCTCAACCCCTCAGGCTGACACCACAGGGAGCGATCCCGAGGCCTGCACGCGCAACGCCACCAGGGAGGTTTTGGATCATGGTGCTGCCCCGAAAACAGCTCCAGCAGGAGATTATCTCCTCAAACACTCACAAAAGACTCTTAACACGCTTTCCTAGCACCAAGGCGTGGCTTAGGGGCTCTCACCGACTCTCAGGCGCACTTTACAAGCTGTGTTTAAACTGGGATTAAACGCGGAGTTTACGCCGCGTTTCCAGCTCGGCACCGCCGGTTTCGCTACCGCAGCACGGCAACGTTTGATCCCTGTGCTGGGAAGGGCTTTTTTCCCAGCTCTGCAAACTTGGTTTGGATCTTCAGGCCACATCCATCTTCAGCAGGAGGGAAGGATGGGTTTTTTATTTAAAAAAGGAGCCGAGCCGTGCGTTGCAGGGCAGGGTGCTTCATCTCTGGCTCGCCGCCGCTCCCAGGCTCCGGAGCATCCATCACTCACCTCCCAACAAACACCTGCACCAAAATGAAGATGAAGCATGGCAACCATAAAGTTTAGCAGAGCTCTGGGGTTTTTTCTTTGCTTTTCATCATTTGTTTGTGCTTTTCTGACACGCTGGGTTATTTAAAACCCTGCTCGTGCCAATTCCTCATCTCTGAGAGCTGCGGGAAGTACGGCGCTGCCCGGCTGTGATTTTTCTTCATTAATTCCAACAGACACTCGAAGTTTTTGCTGTGGCCGAGGAGTTTTGACAGAATCAGGGAAAGTCCTGAGTTGAGGGACCCGCAGGATCGTGGATCCAAGCCCTGGCCCTGCACAGACCCCCAACAATCCCACACCATCCATGTGAGAGGTATCCAAATGCTTCTGGAGCTCTGGCAGAACCCATTCCCTGGGGAGCCTGCCCAGCACCCTCTGGATGAAGAATCTTTCCCTCAAACTCAACCTGAGCCTCCCCTGGAACAGCTCCAGGCATTCTCCAGGTCCTGTCCCTGTCACAGCTGCCCCTCGGGAGGAGCAAATCCCAATGAGTCTCCCCTGAGCCTGCTCTGCTCCAGCTGGACAGTCCCAGTGCCTGCCCTCAAGCCCTCCATGTGCCATTGGGATGTGCCAGATGGAAGCAGAGGATGTGAAATCAAAGCTCTGCAGCCAAGCCCTGGAACTCTGATGAGGACAGGGGATGGGGCTCCTGACCCTTGCTGGAAGAGCAGCAGAAAATCCCTGGAGTAGCTCACACTTCACATGAGTAGGAATTTACAGAGGGTTGTAACGCTTGGAGAGGCCTTGGAGGTTCTCACTTCCAGGTGAACAACGGAAAGGTTTGTGTTGGATCTTAAATCCCCGGTGGATCCAAGCCCCAATGTCCAGCCTGGCCTTGGGCACTGCCAGGGATCCAGGGGCAGCCACAGCAAATCTGGCAATTCCAGCCCAGCCCCTGCCCACCCTCCCAGCCAGCAATTCCTTGCCAAGATCCCAGCCCAATCTCCCCTTTCCCAGTGGGAGCCATTCCCTGCCTCCTGTCCCTGCAGGCCTTGTCCCCAGTCCCTCTGCAGCTCTCCTGGAGTCCCTTCAAGGACTCTGAGGATTCCCCGGATTTTTCCCTTTTCCAGGGGAACACCCTTCAGAATGAACTCCATGAGCTTCCCCTGTGCTCACCTCTCCAGCCTGCCCAGGTCCCACTGGATGCTCTCCTTTCCCACACCACATGAAGGAAAAGCTCCTGGAAGGTTTTTCTGCCCCTAGTAACCAAAATTTCAGAGGAACAACCCCAAGCAGGGGTCAGATCAACCTGTGGAGGTACCCCAAGGGTGACACACACCTGCCCGTGGCACCAAATTCTGGCCAGGAGAGAGAGAATGAGAAGTGACCCACGAGTGGGTGAAAAGGAGCCAACTGAGATTAAATGTTACATAATTAAGCCCCAAACAGGGAAAATGGGATGGGAAAAGCAATTTCATCATCAGCACCCCGACTCTGAGAGGCTTCCCTGAACAGAAGGGGCACTTCAGGATGTTCCTTATGGGAATGTTACCTCAGGACTTATTACAGAGACGGCAAAGGAGATCCAAACAAGCCCAGAAGCAGCTTCTGGCTCAGCCTTCCCTCCTTCTGCCTTTTCCACACAGGATTAGGCCAAGCTTAAAACTGTTTCAGGGGCAAATGCCCACTGTCCTCACTCTGAACCTGAATCTTCTCAGGCCAGCTGAGAACATGACCTTTAATTTCCATTATCCTTGAGGTTTAGACATCTAAAAGTCTTTTCTTTTAAAAATACCCAGTTCTTCCTCTCACAGAACACATGGATGCCTCACAGTTTAGATCCACTATTATTTGAAGAAAAGCAAAAGTATGTGGAATTATTTTTTTCTGCTTTTTAAGCCTGAATCCCTTTCCCCCCCTTATTTATTATCAGAGAACTCAGAGATGCCACAGGAGTTTCAATCACGGTGTTAAATGCCTGCTCAGAGAACAGAAGGTACCACCAGGGATGAGCAGCAGCTCCTGCCCTGGGCACCGAGATTTAAAACCCTCCCAGAATTTATGGCTTTCACTCCTTATAAATAAGACCCGACTTAATCCTTTCCTGCCTCACCCCTGCGCTCCACGAGTTACAGCAGCTCCTTATAAAGTCAGCCCTGGCTTGTGAACATCAATTTCAGGCCATTTCCCCGGGAATACAGCGGGAAATCTGCTGGATAAGCAGCTGCTGCTGACAGGAGACAAACGAGCGCGCGGCCGCTGATATTTCAGCGCTAATAAGCTGCCGCTGCGGCTGAAGGCTGTTTGTATTCCCGCTTGGAATGGCTCTGGCTGGCAGGAATCGAGCACATCCTCCTGCCACAGATGCCCACCTCGGCTCTCAGGAGCTTATTTACGATGGGGTTTCGCTTCATGGTGTGGTTTTTTTGCCTGGTTTATTTTTTTTTTTTTTTGGGTTTTCCTGTAGTGCTGGACGAGCTGGACTCGCCCAGGACACACAGAGCTGAGTCTGGCATGGACATATTTGCCACAGCCACAACCCTCCCAAAATCATTACCCAACCCAACCCTCCCAAAATCATTACCTACTCCAACCCTCCCAAAATGGTTACCCTCCCAAAATCATTACCCTCCTGAAATGGTTACCCGCCCCAATCCTCCCAAAATCATTACCCACCCCAACCCTCCTGAAATCATTACCCACCCTAACCCTCCCAAAATCATTACCCTCCTGAAATGGTTACCCGCCCCAATCATCCCAAAATCATTACCCCCCGCCAATCCTCCCAAAATCATTACGCCCCAATCCTCCCAAAATCGTTACCCATCCCAACCCTCCCAAAATGGTTACACACCCCAACTCTCCCAAAATTGTTACCCTCCTGAAGTTGTTACCCACCCCAACCCTCCCAAAATCGTTATCCATCCCAACCTTCCTGAAATCATTACCCTCCTGAAATGGTTACCTGCCCCAAACCTCCCAAAATCATTACGCACACCAACCCTCCCAAAATGGTTACTCTCCCGAATTGG